AAAACCTACCCCACAATATCCCAATATCCTTAGAAAGAACTGGCCACTGACAAGTGCTGTCTCTGCGTAGGCAACAACATTACAAAAAAGCATTTCGTCATGTATTATGAATCTGTACTTTAGAAGTGATATTGAAATGTCATGGGCTAGTCATTGTGGGTATGGTCATAACATGAACGAGATAAAGCTGAGAAAACCCAATACTTCAAAAATTTGACTGTCACCATCACCTCTTTTTAAAATTTTATTAGTAAATGCTCCAAAGTGTGATGCTGAAGTGCCATCTTGTAAGACATAAAACTGAAGTATTGATCAACTGTGCATTAATGCCTCATTCTTTTGTTCTGAGCAAATTCTGGTATGTGTGTTTCTCCTTTCAGCCCTCTCCCCTCCATGCAAGTTCACCTGACACTTTAGTTTCTTTCTGCCAAAAGTGCTTTTTTCATAACAGACTGCTCTTTTATTCCATGCTATAGATGTTTGAATTACATAGTAGAATTAATACATATAAAAGCAATTGAAATGGTCCTTGGTCATATCTTCCAAGAGATCATTGTTAACTTCATTTGGTCAATATTAATAAGGGTTTTCTTCTGAAAAACCTGCAGAGACAAAATGAAAAATCACCATCAGAATTTCCTCATTTTAATGTAATTTTTCTTGGAACAGAACAAATTTGGAAAGAGCAGCATTTCCTGTGATGCTAATTGTGTTTAGACTTGTATATTCTGTAAAACCTTTGTGTTTTCAAAGAAGATATTTAAGTGATCTTCAAGACATACTGTCATGAGTGTTATTACTTGTTAATATACCATTCTGGTTTACAGGCATTTAAAATATCTTTAAAAACATGCAACAAGGGAAGCGTTTGTGTTGCAGGAAGGCTGTGCATGGGCTGTCAGCAGCCCTCCATCACAACAACGCTCTGTAGGTGAACAGGCAGGAAATCAGACTGAGATGTGTAGTACCAACTGAGCATACACCTGCATTTCAGTACTTCATTTTGGTCATGTAGGATAGATATATATTTAGGACAGATGTTTTTAAGAGACAATTTGGACAGATGCAGTAAAGTATTAAAGCCCCATTATTCCCTATTTTCTCTTATTTTTATAGTGTATCAATTAGCATAATTTTTTATGACTGTTCTTTGCGATGAACTTCTTGGGTACACGTATTCTTTGCTATTATTATAAAGTTAGAGAAATTAAGCTTGCTTCCTTATAATGGGAATTTTTGGTGGGAATAATTCTAGTTTCTGGGTTTCATATGCACTAAGCAGGTGCTTGATGTTTGGCAATATGATAACGTGCCTCCAAGTTTTAAGCTAAATACCTGAGGCTGAAAAAATATGACAAGAGAAAGAAAACATCACCATAAAAGATGCATGTTTAAGTAAGAAAGATGTATGTTTAAATAAGAAATCAGAACAATTATTTTTTATGAACTGCCATATCCAATATTTGCACTACAGCAGCTAAATTGTGGGGGAATATCTGTCATAAACTGTAGGGCAATAAGGGGCGATGGTGTTCAGGTTTCTGCCATTTCTACATAGTAAGCTTATGTGTATGGAGGAAAGGACGTATTGCAATTTGCAGTTGCAGTTATGATTAAATAGGAAACAAGTAAGAGAAAAGTAAGGAATAGTTTCAAGGCCACCATGTTCTTATAGTTATTTTTAACGTTATTTTTAATATCTTGACAAAATATGTCTGTTGTCACTGTAAGAAAGTTTTATTGCCTGAAGGTTATCAATCAGTTAACTTGCAGATACCATTTTAAGTTGCTACAAGCAAAACTAGGGTTTTTTTTTTAAAGTTAAGTTTTGATGATTTATTGCATATATTATTAAGAGCTGAAAAATCTATTTTTCCATTTGTTTTCCAAATATGGACTTGGTTGTAGGATGGAATTCTACCTGAATTTAATCTTTATTTTAATGCTAATTTTTGGTTTTGAATTCAAGGGCATTTTTTTTCTGTAGTAGTATGAAAAATTTTATGTTGAAAATAATTTTCATTTTCCTTTTACTTACCATTAAAATCTACCTAAAAAATAGAAAAAAGTAAAAATCTATTGAAGCCATAGTATACTTTCGTTGGAATACTGTTGTATTGGTATGTGGAGTTTCCTGTTTCAGCTGATTTCTTATTTTAAAAGTACTTTGGGGAAAAAAAGAGAAAAGAAAAAGTGTTAGAAGGCATAATTTTTATTGTCAAAAGTAAATCTTGAATTGCCAGAGTTGCATATAAATGTTACCCTTTACATGTGTGCTCATTACGGTACATTTAATATCACAACATTTTTAGATTCAGATACTGTCCCAAATTTCTTCTGAGGTACTGCTTGATATGTAGTAGGTGAGACATGGCAGCATCAGACTGCAGATGGCTTTGAAATCTTTAATTTGATATGTAAGGCAAAAATGAATCAGGAGTGATATGCCCTTGTGAACCTTTGCTTTTTGACAGGTAGCTGTCAGTTTAGTGCTGTGTTTCACTCCTTTTTGGTTCACGTTCATGTTTAGTTACATTAGCCATTCTTTGGTAGTGATGTGGAGCAATATTAAGCCATCTGCAAGGATGGACTATAAGCCCTGGCTTGGAATAAACTTCTCTGTCTCCCGGGCAAGATTAAGTTTCCCCAATTGCCTGCTGCAATCTTTCTGAAAGGCGATTTCCCCTATTAGTTTACCTGAGGGATATGTTGCAATCCTGATTGTTTCAGTTCTTTGCAGTGGCTGACAAGTATACACATTGTATTTTTTCTGTATTTTTTCCGTAACCTCATCGGTGTGCAGCAGAGGTAACACATGTAGAACTTTAATATATGAAAACAAACAGAATTTGAAAATGTTATCTTTTGAGACAGCTAGTGCCCTGAAGTCTACTTTATACAGAAGAGATTAACACCATTATTCTATGTATAATCTCTCCAGCAAAACACTGTCGCCTACTTCTGTCAACAAATGGTTTCTTTGCTTTGGCAGCTGAAAGAAATTTTAGTTGTGTAGGCAACAGAACATGCCTTTATAAGTTGCAGAACCCAATTTTGAAAATATTTTGGATGGTAACTGCAGTTTTGAGAAGTTAAATTATATTCATTAACTAAATATTTTTTTAAACAAGCTAAAAAGACTAATTATGTCTGCTGTGCGTGACACACTCATAATCCAGGCACAAGGCAGGTTTACTGTTTCACAGTACACCTTTTGGAATGGTGCTGTTCCTTGCAGACACTTAACTGACTAAAAGGTCTGCATGTATCCCATCCACTTTGAGTGCACTTTCTTTCTGAATAAAGGTAGAGATGTGTACTTGCTGACAGTCTGAGTCCATAAAATTTATATACCAAAAAAAAGGAAGATGCTCAAGCAGAGGTGCGATATTTCTAGAAGCCTCAGACCAAACAAGTTCTGGAATATTTTCAGGGAGAGGGCAAAAGCCATATTTTAATGGAATAGAGTTACACAGCCATAGTCAACATGTGGAAGTTTTTGTTTTTTATTTTGTGTTAGTAAATATGTCAGTGTTCTTTTTCAAAAAATTGAATTACATTACTAGTTAATAATTATATTTTCAATATAAAATTTTACTGTTTCCCCAAGAAATGGTTAATACAAAAATTAAAGCTCAGATAACAAATATGTGCTTTAATATACTGGATTGTATTTGATTTTCTGCAATTTGTTTACCTGAATGAAAGAATTACATCATTGTTCACAGCTTCTGTTACTGGAGGGTCAGATCTCTTGTGGGAGCATTTGAACCCTCATCATTTACATGGCAGAGTAGATCCCAGTCTCAGGGCAGAAGTGGATAGATGTGCAGATCCCTGTCCTGGGAGCCACTTCACTCCTTGGATACGTGGCTGGGCACGTGTGTGTCCTGTGGTGAGGCTCCAGTGCCTCTGACACGTGGCGTGCACGGACTGTGCAAACAGTTTCTTATCATCTGACTGAGCACATGTGTGCTTGCTTTGTAGGACTGGATGCTGTTTTGCTGTTCCTGCCATGTTGATGAATAGCTGTAATTTGTTTATGTGTGGGAAAGGATGGCAACGAGAAACAAGGCATTAATTACAAAAAAGTGTCATGAAGTCATCAGCTTGTTTCTTCTGCATGTGTAAGAACTGATGGGGAACAACCTCATCAAAACTGTCGTAGCACCTGTCCTAGTGACAGCTATAATGACCTTTCCCTGTGCTAATTTTTAGTTTGGTAGTTTGCACTTTGTAATTACAAAGCACAGATCATTGAAACAAATTATTAATGTTAATCAGTAAGTCAGCATACAAGAATGAAAAGAATCAAGGCTTTCCTTGTATACTAAATGAAAAGATTTCTTCCAGATTCTTGCTTTGATCATTAGACTCTTTTAAATAAGCAAACATTACTTAGTTGCTAAGCCACAGGCTGAAGCTCATTAGTGTGTTATCACAAATATTGGAAAAAGAGTACTAAACCAATATTAGATAGAGGACCTGTGCGTAGGCTGGAAGTAACGCAATGAACGTGACACCAGAACATTTTGAAAGAGGGCTCAGAGTGCTTAAAACCATTTCTGTTTGCAAAACCCCACCCCACTCAGCAAGAAAAAGTGCCAACCCTGAGTTGATCTGTTTTTTCTGCTACTGATATCTCTAAGAGTTTTCTGGAAGTACAATAGATTTAATAGTCTTATAAACAATTTTGTGCATATTCTTTATTTTAAATATTGACCAGGTATATTGATGTGGCCTTTTTTAAGTCTAATGGTTATCCTTAAAATTGGTTTTCATTAGAATGATTGTAACCATAGATTGAAAGCCAAAATGACATCTTATTCAAATACCCTTTTTGGGAGCCCAACTCAAAATCCTAACAAATCAGTTTTGGATACATAGATATTGCAAGTTACTGAATTTTACAAGAATTCATGGTCATTTGAATTTTTTGGTGTTCTGTGTATTATCTTAAGCAAATGAACTAACAGTCCATGCTTTTACATTCTTCACAGATCTTCAGTACAGTGAGAGAAGAAGAGGAAGGAGCAGAAGATATTTTTGAATATATTCCTCATCTTCTGAGAAAGCTCCCAACGTTTGTTAAAGTCTATATTTGCAAAGATGATGGGTTTTGTGTAAAACCATGTGTAGCGGATGCTCACTGTCAATATCGTGCCACTTTACAGAGGACTTCACTCTCTAACTATATAACTGGTGCTTTACTAGAAGCAACTACATCATTAGGAGCAAGAAGTGGGCTTTTAAATATCTTTGGAGGATCAACTGGAAGAACAATGCTTAAAGGTAAGAAGATTTTTTTTTGGACCCCTATCCACTTTAAGTATAGTGTGAATTGCAAAATTATTAATACTATATAATATTTTGTAGTTTATATATAAAGTTCAGATAAAAAAGGTTTTCATGTTTTCAGATATTTTCCTTTGCAATCACTATGTGTCATGATAACTATCTGTGTTAGTTTAATAAACTAAAATGCATGCTAAACTGAAAAGAGTCTTATTACAAACCAAATATTTTTTCAGGGTTTTTTTCTTGTTGGAATCTGTTCTTCCTGCATCCAAATTTAATGCCTAAGCAATTGTTTTTAGGGTGTTCCTCATTTACCAAGTGCTTCTGCTCGCAGGCTGATGTAGTTCAGGACCTGAGAAAGGAGTATATACTCTGTGTGGTTATTATTGTTGTCATTATGCAGCTAGCTGTCAGCATAGCACTGTGTGGTTAAGTATGTACAATTCGTTATTGATTTATTGTTGGTCTTTTTTTGGATCCGTCATTGGATCATTTCAAATAATGTGGGTATTGTGTATTTGAAAAATACCTGTTGGAGGATGGATGTTTCATACTAAATTTCCGTGCTGATCATCTTTCTGTGTAGTAAGAATACCCATATGTGATTTAGTTCGATCAGTTTTGGAAGTTAAACAGATAAAAGCAATTCTTGGTACAAATACATTGCAATAAAAGATGGTTTTGCACAGAACGGTACCTATATTATTGATTAATTTTTAATTAATGCCTAGAATATTTCATAAGTTACTCAAGGATTTGGAGATTTATCATCATCTTATACACCCTAACAAAAGGATGTTGTGTCTCAGTCATACAATGGTAGAAGTGATGCTTGTGGATATTATGGTTTGCCCAACTTTAACAGGAATATGACCAAATTAGTGCATAATTCTCAGTGTAGTTGCTTAAATAGTGCAGATACTGTCCTAATTTTTACCAATAATGGTATAGTTTATGCTTGGATATGGTTGTCTTATTTTTATCCGCAAGAATGTCCCTTTCTAGTTTTAATTAGTCTCTCTTTAGGTGAATCAAATGGCAGAGAGAGACAGTAAAACATTGTAAGAAGGACAGGTATAGATGGCAAACTGTAGCATCTGAGTAAGTTTCAGTAGTACGTTGAGCAACGTTGCTAAGCTTTGCATCCACTCGTTGTCTGTGGGAGACAGAGATATATCCAGTACAGTGTCCTATTTTGGTAGGGTTTTCCTTTTTATTTTGTTTGGGTTTTATTTGTTCTGGGCAGATGAGTGCTTTAGAAGAATAAACATGTGCATTCCTGTGACAGCCGGAAAGCAAGGTTAAAAGAACTGAGTCGGGCTTCAGAACTGAGCTTTGAAACTGGAAGCAGCAGCAGACTCCCTGATCTGCTGATATGGCTGCATCTTTTTATGGAGGCTGGGCTAGTGGCTGCACATGAGTGCTCTGTGTACCAGCACACTTTGCACTGCACGCTTTGGGGATCTCTGTGGTGGCAGTGTTAAATGGTGTACATTTTTGTTGTTGGATTCTGAGCCAAAGGTTGTGAGACATTAGAGAAAAAGCTGAGGTCTGGAACTTGAATTGCAATTCCACTGGCAACCTGTGTAGATAGTAGAGGTTGTATTTACTGTAGTGGTCTAGGCATGATTTACTGTACTGGTCTCTGTTGAAGAGATATGCTGCAGGATATTGAAGTTTTCTGATGTGGAAGGTTCATGTTCAGTTATATTGTGGTGATTTAAATACCTGAAAAATGATAGAGTCCTCTCTAAAAACTTTTATGGAGTGTTACTTGATGATGTTACTATCTGAGCCATTAACATTAGCAAGGAACCCAACTGTATTCTGAATTCAGAATTGCAGTTATCATCCATGGGTGTGTACCCTCTAAGAAAGAAATTGTCCTGTCCATATAGATTGATAAGAAGGTTATTTGTATCTGTCCAACATCCTCAGGTGACTGAATTAAACCTCACCCATAAGCTAGTAGTTGTTTGGAGGCATCAAAAATGGAATATATTGATTCTGGTGCAGTTTAACAGTTGTTGTGGTTAAACAGTTTTTGTGGTTTAACTCTGATAAGTAGCACCATGCTGCCACTCACTCCCCCACAATGGGATGAAGGAGAGAATCAGAAAGGTAACAGTGCAAAAATGCATAGATTGAGCTGCAGACAGTTTAGTAGATAAAGGAAAAGTCGTATGCATGAACAAAGCAAAATAAGGAATTAATTCACTACTTCCAATCAGCAGGTTGGTGTTTAACCCTTTCTGTGAAAGCAGGGCTCCATCATGTGTAATGGCTTCTCGGGAAGGCAGAGACTGTAACTACAAATGCCCTTCCTACCATTTCCCCCAGCTTTTGTTGCTGAGCATGATGCATGGTGTAGAATATACATGTATATGCATATGGTACAGAATATCCCTTTGGTCAGTTGACATCAACTGTCCTGTCTGAGAAACAGAAAAGGCTGAAGCTGTGTAAGCACTGTCCAGTGATAGCTGAAACATCCCTGTGTTATCAACAATGTTTTGGTCACAAATCCAAAACGTCTTCCTTTTCTATTGCCAGTAAGAAAAAGAAAATCTAGTTTGTGCACCTGTGTTGATCACGAGTACACCACTATGAGGGAGAATGAAGGTTTTGGGGTGAGAAGGTCACAAACCATGTAGTAAATTACAGCCCTGACCATAACTTAGGTTCTGATGCAGAGGGGACATAGAGTGGGTGGACTACTGAATTCCACTGAACTGCTCTAAGGGGCAGCCCATGTACAGGGTGTGTGGCAGCATATCCAGTCTTGTGCCAGAGATGTGCAATATGAGACCACATGAGAGACATTTCACTACTTTCCTTTCAATATGTTTGCAATTTCTCGAGGTGAAGTTCAGCACTCTCTTGCACAGTCTGTTTAAAGAAAAAGGAACCCATAACTTTAATGAGAAGTGCCTTTGTGATTTAAAAGGAAAACTTCTCAAAACCTTTGTACTCTCTGTAGTTAGGACTTTTATGTAACATCTACCCTGAAAATAGGGACCCAACAAACAGCAAATCCCTAATACTGGGATAGCCTTCTGCATTTGTGCCTCCCCAGCACCAAGCACATTGTGTTTGGTCCTTCAGGAGTTACTTAGTGACCTGTGCAATGAACCTTACAGTCACAAGCAGTCCAGCTCCAGGGAATACTGTTGCAAGGTTTTGCTCGGTAGCTAAGGACCTTAAACGCTCTGAGTCCCCAGGGCTAGGATGGTTTTGTGGGCAGATCAGCCAGTGTTAGTTCCACAGAAGGCTTCCAAACATACCAGACCTCCTAAGCTAGAATTCCCAGTCACATGGATGTGAGACTGAGAGTCTTTAAAAACTCATATAGTGCCTGCCGTGTAGGAGACTCATCTCTTGGGCCTGGAGCTGTGAGCCTGCAAGCCCTGCTGTCAGATGGCTCACAGAGCTGTCAGGCTCCCGACTGAGGAGCTGCGACTCTGGTCCCGGTAGCACAGGGACAGTCTGAGAGTGGACTCCCGGGAACCACAGATGCCTGGAGTTCCCACAGCTGGTCAGTGACATTCACATCCTTGTCAGCATCTTTGTTGCTACAGAGAACATAATTTTCACATATGAATACTGAAGATATTTAGGCTACACTCTTTTAGTACCTCTATGTGTAACTCGGAATTTTTGACTAGAAAAAAGTTTTGAGAGTGTCTTTCAATGGGATTTGGATTGAAACCAGAGTTTTTTTTCCTGTAGGAAGGAAATCCTGTTTCTCAGCCTGTTCTATTTCTTAAAAATTGATTGTTACAGAAGTTTGCTCATAGTTGTGAATGGGCCAGAACTTTCACTGGAATCGTATTTGAAGGGACAGTCATTATCACAGTTTGTGGTGTTGACATTTTTATGCAGAAAGTAAAAAAAAAGGTTTATGTCTTTCTTAAAGAAGGAACTATAGTATGTGAAAATGTTTGTGCTTTACATTTGATACCTAAATCTGGAGTCATAGTTGGAAAGAAACTTGTACTCTTCCCTCCCCTGCACCCCCAATAACTTGTGTTTGTAATCTAAGATAAAGGGAAGGGAAATAGAAAGAGGTGTCTGAGGATGGAGCAGACTGCAATCATTTTGTGTCAATGTTCTTTTCATTTCAGCACCTTTCAAAGCTGTTCAAGTCCAATGCCACTTTCTTTGATATAAATCAGACTAGGTGTTTGGTTGTTGTTCATCTTCCAGAGAAAGCTCAATAGTACTTGTTAAATACACAACAGTGTTTTTTGACCAAGAATGGAAGTAAACTAATTTGTCATGAACATGGAGGCAGACTGCATTGATCTTAAGAAAACATACTTAATTCATCCCACAGAATTTAGAGATTGCCCCTTTTCTGTAATCAGACTTTGCCATCAGCAAACAGGTGCCCAAGTCTCTGGAACTTTTCCCACTGCTGTTTTTTGTATCCTTTGCACGAGGTGTATTGTTACAGTATTGGGGAAATTCCAAGGTCCCAAAAGTTGGGGCAGTTGTCTGATAGCTGTATGTCAGTCATGGGTGATAACAAGCTTGATGTAAACAGATTTAGAAAGGCCAGCATGATTTTGCTGGTCTGTGTGTTTGGACACAAAGGTTAAGACACTAGAGTGAGGGATAAATCAAAATGAGCTGAAATTAAGACCTGAAAAGACAAAATGTGTCTTAAGCTCAGAATCTATGGCAAGAATATGAGTCATGCAATACACTGTAGGAGAGGAAATCAAATACAGGAGATGGATCAGGCAGTATGTAGATAATGTGGCCTGAGGCAAGAGTGTGAGTCAGGTGACAAGTATGTCATGTCTGCTGTGTTGCCTCCAAAATGTAGGTCAAGAAGAGCAGGAACATGTGCAGATCGACTGTTTAGGAAGAGAATGAAGAGGAACATGGCAGGAAGCACTGATCAAGGCTGAGATGGCGGGATGGAGGAGAAAGATTTTGGAGGACAGCTGTAAGTCTAGGGACATTTGGGACTGTCTGGAGCTGGCTAT